GCGCCTTTTTTCTTGAGTTACCCGTGCAGATGCCATACCACGACAAGCATGGAGCCCGCTCAGGTAACCGTCACCGTATGTCTCCTGGGTGCTGGCAGACGTGGTACTGCATTGCTACACAGCAGCATCAACCCATTGCCTTGTGGCAGCAGACGGTACAATAGGACTGGTAGCCGTCATCGTCATGTCCGTCATGTCCACGCCTGGGCAGACATGTGCGCAGGGACTAAATCTGGAGTGACTTGACCAGATCATTCTCTTTAGTCCTGCAGTCAGTCCTATTGAACCATCTTATGGTGAGCAGGCAGGCGATACGGATTGCTACCAGACCTACTGTACTATCTTCTGCCAGGCAGGCAAGAGATGAGGATGGCTAGCAGTCCTACTGCACCGTCTTCTGCCGAGCAGCCATGAGATGTGGATGGCTTGCAGTCCTTCTGCACCGTCTGCTGCCAGCCAAAGATGTAAAAGATAGATGGAGTGGATCAAAACAAGAAATAGACCAGATTTGTTTTGTATTCATTTACTCCCCCCCATCCCCCGTCTAGGGGACTCATTCCTCTAGGTCACACTGCAGTCACTCACAGAGAAGGTGCAGCGAGGTAAATCTAGCCATGTATCAATCAGAGGCCAGACCAACCTGCTTGTTCCAATAAGAACAATTACTTAGGTGCACCATTTCTTATTGGAACCCTCCGTGAAGTCCTGCCTGAAATACTCATTGATGTAAAGCCACCCCCTTTGTTGATTTTAATTCCCTGTAAGCCAACCCTGTAAGCCATGTAGTCAGTCGCCCCTCCCTCCGTCAGAGCAATGGCAGACAATCGTTCCGCACCTTTTTTCTGTGCGGACCCCATACCAAGGCAAGCATGGAGGCCGCTCAGCTCACTTTGGCAGTTAGGAGCACATTAAACACCACACGCATTACCCAGCAATATATGCAGCACCAGAACCTGGCAGAGTGATACCGGGCGAGGAGGCGACGTCAGCGCGGTCATGAGAGTGATCAGGACATGGACACAGATTTCTCTGAAAGCATGGGCCCTGCCAATGAGTGCATCATGGTGCTAATGGGGCAGGTTCATGCTGTGGAACGCCGAATCTGGGCTCGGGAAACAAGCACAGACTGGTGGGACCGCATAGTGTTGCAGGTCTGGGACGATTCCCACTGGCTGCGAAACTTTCACATGCGTAAGGGTACTTTCATGGAACTTTGTGACTTGCTTTCCCCTGCCCTAAAGCGCATGAATACCAAGATGAGAGCAGTCCTCACAGTTGAGAAGCGAGTGGCGATAGCCCTGTGGAAGCTTGCAACGCCAGACAGCTACCGGTCAGTCGGGAATCAATTTGGAGTGGGCAAATCTACTGTGGGGGCTGCTGTGATGCAAGTAGCCCACGCAATAAAAGATCTGCTGATATCAAGGGTAGTGACCCTGGGAAATGTGCAGGTCATAGTGGATGGCTTTGCTGCAATGGGATTCCCTATCTGTGGTGGGGCCATAGACGGAACCCATATCCCTATCTTGGCACCGGAGCACCAAGCCGGCGAGTACATAAACTGCAAGGGGTACTTTTCAATAGTGCTGCAAGCTCTGGTGGATCACAAGGGACGTTTCACCAATATCAACGTGGGATGGCCGGGAAAGGTACATGACGCTCGCATCTTCAGGAACTCTGATCTGTTTCAAAAGCTGCAGGAAGGGACTTTATTCCCAGATCAGAAAATAACTGTTGGGGATGTTGAAATGCCTATAGTTATCCTTGGAGACCCAGCCTACGCCTTAATGCCATGGCTCATGAAGCTGTACACAGGCAGCCTGGACAGTAGTCAGGAGCTGTTCAACTACAGGCTGAGCAAGTGCAGAATGGTGGTAAATGTGCATTTGGATGTTTAAAGGCGCGCTGGTGCAGTTTACTGACTCGCTTAGACCTCAGCGAAACCAATATTCCCACTGTTATTACTGCTTGCTGTGTGCTCCACAATATCTGTGAGAGTAAGGGGGAGACGTTTATGGCGGGGTGGGAGGTTGAGGCAAATCGCCTGGCTGCTGGTTACGTGCAGCCGGACACCAGGGCGGTTAGAAGAGCACAGGAGGGCGCGGTACGCATCAGAGAAGCTTTGAAAACCAGTTTCATGACTGGCCAGGCTACGGCGTGAAAGTTTTGTTTGTTTCTCCTTGATGAAACCCCCCGCCCCTTGGTTCACTCTACTTCCCTGTAAGCTAACCACCCTCCCCTCCTCCCTTCGATCACCGCTTGCAGAGGGAATAAAGTCATTGTTGCTTCACATTCATGCATTCTTTATTCATTCATCACACAAATAGGGGGATGACTACCAAGGTAGCCCAGGAGGGGTGGTGGAGGAGGGAAGGAAAATGCCACACAGCACTTTAAAAGTTCACAATTTTAAAATTTATTGAATGCCAGCCTTCTGTTTTTTGGGCAATCCTCTGTGGTGGAGTGGCTGGTTGGCCGGAGGCCCCCCCACCGCGTTCTTGGGCGTCCCTGGGTGTGGAGGCTATGGAATTTGGGGAGGAGGGCGGTTGGTTACACAGGGGCTGTAGTGGCAGTCTGTGCTCCAGCTGCCTTTGCTGCAGCTCAACCATACACTGGAGCATACTGGTTTGATCCTCCAGCAGCCTCAACATTGAATCCTGCCTCCTCTCATCACGCTGCCACCACATTTGAGCTTCAGCCCTGTCTTCTGCCTGCCACTTACTCTCTTCAGCCCGCCACCTCTCCTCCCGGTCATTTTGTGCTTTCCTGCACTCTGACATTATTTGCCTCCACGCATTCGTCTGTGCTCTGTCAGAGTGGGAGGACAGCATGAGCTCAGAGAACGTTTTTTTCTCTCTCTAATCTTCACTAGCCTCTGGGAAGGAGAAGATCCTGTGATCATTGAAACACATGCAGCTGGTGGAGAAAAAAAAAGGACAGCGGTATTTAAAAAGACACATTTTATAAAACAGTGGCTACGCTCTTTCAGGGTTAATCTTGCTGTTAACATTACATACATAGCACATGTGCTTTCATTACAAGGTCGCATTTTGCCTCCCCCCACTGCGTGGCTACCCCCTCAACCCTCCCCTCCCCATGGCTTACAGCGGGGAACATTTCTGTTCAGCCACAGGCAAACGGCCCAGCAGGAACGGGCTCCTCTGAGTGTCCCCTGAAGAAAAGCACCCTATTTCAACTAGGTGACCATGAATGATATCTCACTCTCCTGAGGATAACACAGAGAGATAAAGAACAGATGTTGTTTGAACGCCAGCAAACATACACTGCAGTGCTTTGTTGTACAATGATTCCCGAGTACGTGTTACTGGCCTGGAGTGGTAAAGTGTCCTACCATGAAGGACGCAATAAGGCTGCCCTTCCCAGAAACCTTTTGCAAAGGCTTTGGGAGTTAATCCAGGAGAGCTGCAAATGCCAGGGCAAATTAATCCTTTCACATGCTTGCTTTTAAACCATGTATAGTATTTTAAAAGCTACATTCACCAGAGGGCCCTTCTCCGCCTGCCGGGTCCAGGAGGCAGCCTTGGGTGGGTTTGGGGGGTACTAGCTCCAGGTCCAGGGTGAGAAACAGTTCCTGGCTGTTGGGAAAACCGGTTTCTCCCCTTGCTTGCTGTGAGCTATCTACAACCTCCTCCTCCTCATCATCTTCTTCTTCGTCCGCAAAACCTGCTTCCGTGTTGCCTCCATCTCCATTGAAGGAGTTAAACAACACGGCTGGGGTAGTGGTGGCTGAACCCCCTAAAATGGCATGCAGCTCATCATAGAAGCAGCATGTTTGGGGCTCTGACCTGGAGCGGCCGTTCGCCTCTCTGGTTTTCTGGTAGGCTTGCCTCAGCTCCTTAAGTTTCACGCGGCACTGCTTCGGGTCCCTGTTATGGCCTCTGTCCTTCATGCCCTGGGAGATTTTGACAAAGGTTTTGGCATTTCGAAAACTGGAACGGAGTTCTGATAGCATGGATTCCTCTCCTCATACAGCGATCGGATCCCGTACCTCCCGTTCAGTCCATGCTGGAGCTCTTTTGCGATTCTGGGACTCCATCATGGTCACCTCTGCTGATGAGCTCTGCATGGTCACCTACAGCTTGCCACGCTGGCCAAACAGGAAATGAGATTCAAAAGTTCGCAGTTCTTTTCCTGTCTACCTGGCCAGTGCATCTGAGTTGAGAGTGCTGTCCAGAGCGGTCACAATGGAGCACTGTGGGATAGCTCCCGGAGGCCAATACCGTCGAATTGTGTCCACAGTACCCCAAATTTGACCCGGCAAGGCCGATTTCAGCGCTAATCCACTTGTCAGGGGTGGAGTACGGAAATCAATTTTAAGAGCCCTTTAAGTTGAAATAAAGGGCTTCATCGTGTGGACGGGTGCAGGTTTACATCGATTTAACGCTGCTAAATTCGACCTAAAGTCCTAGCGTAGACCAGGGCTTAGGGTGTTGAAGACCCATTTTTCCTGCTCTACCCAGGGAGTTTGATTTAAATATTTCTGAACTGGTGCTGACACCTGCTGCCAGCTACAAGTATTTTTTTCCTACTGCAAGCCAGGCCTAGCGGACTTCCTTAGGAGCACAAGGAAACGTGCAATGCTGGCAGACTCTCCAGAACACAATCAGCATGTGTAACTGGAGTTGGTAACAGACACCCAAAGCGCAGTGAACAGAGAAACGGCTCTGCCATCAATGTGACACAAGAGAGATTGACAGAGAGAGAAAATCCCAAACCCAAGGGACTGAGAGGCTGGTCATTAATAATACACATATTCAAGGAGGCTCGCCTCTGAAGCTCGAGGGCTGGCGAGTGAAAGCAGAGCATGGCGTGGAGCTGCAGGGTGGGTGCCAGCCCGGGGCTCCCAGGCGGCGGGGGGCAGCGGGGCGCGCTGTCGGTTGCGGGCACGCGCAGGGGAGGCCGGGTGAGGGGCAGCCGGATGTCCCGCCCCCCCGGCAGAGCGCTGGCGCGGGTCGCGCGGCTCCTCCCCACTGGCTGGGCGGGCTCAGGCGCATCCGGCCCGGCCTCTCCTCTCTGCTGGTGCCGGGGGCTCACGCACGGAGGCGGTGGCTGCAGCTGCTCCTGGCCCCGCAGAAACCCGCCGCCGCCTGCCCCACTTGCCGGCGGTGTCCGCCCGAGGGGCTGCGGCAGGGAGGGGCCGAGCGGCCGGGGCCTGCGTGGCTGAGCGGCGGGGCCGGGCGGAGAGATGAACACGGTGTTGTCCCGGGCCAACTCGCTCTTCGCCTTCTCCCTGAGCGTCATGGCGGCGCTGACCTTCGGCTGCTTCATCACCACCGCCTTCAAGGAGCGCAGCGTGCCCGTCCGCATCGCCGTCTCCCGGGTCATGCTGTGAGTGCGGCCCCGGGCACCTCCCCTTCCCTGCCGGTCCCGAGCCTGGGGAGGAGGGTTCGCCGCCCGGGCCCGAGCCCGGTGCCGGGGTCTGCGCGCACACGGGGCCCCGGGGCTGCTGAGGCACGGAGCCAAACTCTCCCTGCGGGGAGGGGGAGCAGCCGGCGCCCCCTGTCCGGGGCGATAGACAGGTGGCTGTGGCCGCACCCAGCGCCTGTACACGAGGGGGCTGGGGTATGGGAATCTAGGGGGGCTGCCTGTCCTGATTTGTTTTAGGGAGTCGTTAAACAGATCGTTTGCCATCAGTGCCCCCCGCACCTCCCCCCTTCTCCTCTCTGTAGCTTGGGCCTAGAATAAGTACAGTCAGTGTCTGCCTCTTCCGTTTCCTTCCTGCGCTCTCTCTCCCCCCTGGCTGGGCCAATGAGGGAACCCCACGGCAGTCAACTCTGCTGCAGTGGTGTCCTTCTTCCTCCTCTCTGCCAGTTCTCTGTGTGAAGGCTGTTGCAGTGCATAAATTGCACGCAATCACACACACCAAGACTCCTGCTTTATATGAAGGCAAGACATATTGACAAGGGGGAATATTCTCTCTTGAATTCAGATTCCTTGATTGGCTTCTGTCAGACTTAATGCTAGACCTTTTTCAACATGCCACCTTCCCTTCTTTAATTGGTGTCTTGTAAAAAGTGTGATTGGCTATATAAGAATAGGTATTGACTGACTTTAAATGTCTCTAAACATCCTTCATCTCTGTAAGCCACATTTTTTAAAACCGAACTAGTAACCCAGTCAGAATTGAATTGGAGCAGCATAATGAGGATCTCTCTACTCGCATCTTTTTTTGATGGTTTCTTTCAGCCAAACCCCAGTTTAATGTGTGGATTCTTCCTGTAACAGATTGACAGTGACTCTATGCACCTGTCATATAGGTGCATATAATGTGAAGATGTTAGTTTGTGTGAAGGGAAGGAACAGTCTGTAGTCAGCCTTCAAAACAAAACTTTGGGCTTTCTTAGCTTCTTTCTTTTTGAAGTAAGGAAGGCACTAATCAATGTGGCAGACTTAATTTTTTGTTTTTAAAGCTCAGGGACCAGAGTTTTCTGTTTTTATGCCTGGAGATTTGAGTAAACTCCGTTTCAGTCTGGAGCAAATGTTAATGTCAGGTTCAACGCTCCTGAAGTTTTGGTGGCGAGGTTTATCCATTGTCAACTAAATTATGGCATGATGACTTAATATTGTGGAGAGAGCATAAACTTTCAACCAATGTAGTATTTTTTTGTTTGAGGATTGTACGTGCCAAGGGAGAACTTTACAATGTGTGTGTGCAGCACAAATGTGAAATCAGGGTTAACAGGTGGTTAATGTAGATGGGCTGAGGGGCTCTTTGTGATGTAAAATCAGTTGGTATGACTGAAAATAGTAGTTACTACCAGAATGACTGACTTTGCTGCTGCAAATGTTCAAATTGGTATTGACTAGTTGGTGATGGCTACATATGCTTGACTAAAATCAAATGAAGCACAGTTGAGCTTCCCATGTCTCCGTAGGCAGGAAAAAGTCCATAAATTATTACTCTTATTTATTGTTTGAATTCGAGTAGTATCTAAATGATCCAATCAGGATATGGGCTCCATTGTGCTAGGAAGTGTACAAACAGTAAAACAGTGTTCTTGACCTGAAGTGCTTACCATCTGATTAAGACAAGATACAATAAATGGGTGTATCAATCAAAATGGTAGAAAGTGTACAAAGGAAACCAATAAGAATGTTCATTGACATAAAACAAGTAATGCAAACTATGCTAATTTTGTGTTCTTGCTTTTTATTTATTTATTTATTTATTAATAGAAAAAATGTGGAAGACTTCACTGGGCCTAGAGAAAGAAGTGATCTAGGATTTGTTACATTTGATGTTACTGCAGATATCCTTTATAAAAACAGTAATGCTTAAAATATAAATTTTGCTATATTGTTGACACCACTTCCATAGTTGTTATGATTGTAATGTATGAAACCAGTCCTCCAACATTTAAACCAGAAGACCTTAAGAAAGTAAAAAGTTCGAGGAAAACCACCAGTATCTCTGGAAAGCAGTGTTTTAAAGTAAATGGAATTAGAGAATGTATTGGGTGAGGCGAGAAATACGGCAGAAGCTCAGAGTTACAAACATTTCGAACAACCTGAGGTGTTTGTCACTCTGAAATGTTCATAACTTTGAACAAAATGTTATGGTTGTTCTTTCAAAAGTTTACAACTGAACATTGACTCAGCATAGCTTTGAAACTTTACTATGCAGAAGAAAAATGCTGCTTTGCTTTTTTTATTTAAAGTAGTTTACATTTAACGGTACTGTACTGATTTGCTTTTTTTTTGGTCTCTGCTGCTGCCTGATTGTGTACTTCTGGTTCCAAATGAGGTGTGTGATTGACAGGTCAGTTCATAACTCTGGTGTTCGTAACGCTGAGGTTCTACTGTAGTTCTTATCGGATGAGGAGATTGCCAAGATGGTTTGTGGCAACCTCATCAGCAAAGTTCAGAGTCCTCAAACCACCATTAAATCTAATCAGAGTGTAGTCATCAATAATGTGTGATGTGTTTAGCCACAGCCGCATTTAGGATTCTCTGTTGGTCCCAGGTGTGAAGGCTGGCTGCCCATTTACCCTGGCCTGTTTGAAATCAGGTCAGAAGGGCCCATGAGCAACGTGGCAAATAAAGCTGGGTATGCATGTGGTTGGGTCAAGAGACTGGTATCTGACATCAACTGCAGCCCATTCTTCACAAACATCAATGTCGCAGAGAAGTCTGGGCAGGACAGATAGGCCCACAATGGTTGTCTCAATGACAAGGATGCTCTTAGGTGGTTGAAGTCGTCTGTGTATAGTGGTAGGCTCAGGGTTAGCCCTGATCATCTCAGTCATTCTTGCTGTAGCATTGTCACGACAAATGTTGCGAGTGATATTGCTTAACATGGAGAGCCATGGTATGGGTGTAGGTCGGTAAGGAGAGAAGTAGTTAATCATAGGGATTGCTTATGTAATGTATATTTTATGAATACTTAAAGATCTATGACACGGGTTTCAAATTCATTCTGTTAGGAAAGCCTGGATTACAAAGTTAAGGACCTATAATATGGATGTCAGTGGCAGTAAAGATCAAGGGCAGACATAGTAAATAAAGGACCAAAATATCAGTTGCATTTATCATCACTCACTGGAAATAATTTATTGAGCAGTATACACAATTATATCAACTTCTGTCTTCTGTTTTTCTCCCCATCTTACTTTCTCCCCTTTCTCTCTATCTTTGATTGCCTGTCTCTTGTGTTTCTTTTATTTTCCTCTTCACTTTCTCAATGGTTTCTAGTCTCTCCTCTCCTCTCCTCTCTCCCCTTCTGGCTCCTTATCCCACTCTTTTTTTGCCCAGCCAATCCCAGTTCTCCCTCTGTGCCCCAGCTCCTTGCAAGAGCTGTCTCCCCTCTACCTCGCCCCTAGTCCCAGTCTTTTCCCCAACTTCTCATCTGATCTCAGTTGTCAACCCCCAAGCCAAGTGTTTGAGTCCCTTCCATTTCCCTGACCAGCTCCCAGTTGTTTTGCCCAACCAGTCGCAGTTTCTCCCCCCAATCCCTTCTAGTACTAGTCTCAGCAGACTCCTTGTCCCAGTCTTTCTTTCCCTTTCTCCTGGTCTAGCTTTTGTCCCTTCTGCATTTGAATCAGACAGTTTTCTCTTCCTTTCTTGCCTTTGTGCCAGCAGGAGGGGCACAGGAGAGACAGGTTCCCTGCTCTAAGTTCTGGTGCCTGGCCCAGAGCAGCTGGGAACAGTCATTACAAGGAAAGTCTGACTTTGCAACTGAAAACAGGGTATTATAATTGGAAGTATCAAACAAGCTTAACAATAAGAGGTGCTACTAAACCTATCTATAATAATACCCTTAATATAAAATAATTTAAAACTATAGTTGAAATATAGCAACTTCCAAGATATTCAAACACTTCTGAAATGTTTAACTCTTGGGAAGACAGGGCAGACAAGGTATGTTTCTTTGAAACTAACAGATATTTTATTTATGTTTTGGCTCCACTAAGTTGCAGTTCTGAGATTCCTTTGTGTATTTAAAACCAATCCTTAGTATTTTTTAAATTACTTTTGGTTATTCATATACTTTAAATTGGTCTTGTCAACAGAGTAGCAAGGTGATACTATATTAAAGAACATCATTTAGTAAAGGACTCTTAGTCTTTCCTCTCCTGTGTAGGAAATGTTTTTCAGTGGGGCAACTAGGGTGGGGTAATATTTAAATTCTGAGATGTTACTAAGTTGCAGTGTCAAATACAGCACTCTTAGATAAGGCTGCAAGTTTGTCATGGAGGCTTCCATGACTTTTGAAGCGGGCTGCCAGAGCAGCTGAGGCAGCCCCAGGGCCAGTCGCACTGGCTGCTGCTGGGGCAGTCTGAGCCACCCACTCCACCCCCAGGAGTAGCAGGAGACTTCTGGGTTGGGGGCCTCAGGGCTGGGGGTTGGGGCGTGGGAGGGGGTGAGGGCTCTGGGAGGTGCTTACCTTTGGGGGGCTCCCCGGAACGGCAACGCATCCCTCCCTCGGCTCTTAGCTCCATGTGCTGCCTCTTCACGCAGGCACTGCCCCTGTAGCTCCCATTGGTGGTGGTTCCCAGCCAATGGGAACTGCGAAGCTAGGAGTTTAAGGAGGGACATGTCGGTGCTTCTGAGAAGCCAAGTAGGGAGCCTACCAGCTCCACCAAACCCCTTCCCACCAGTACCAGCAGGAGTCCTGGGCTGCTCCCGCCTGAGCACTGACCATGCCCCCCTGGATCACCCCTCCAGAGAACCTGTGTCCGTCCCCCCCCCCGGCAGCACTCACAGCGCCCCTCTCCCCCCCCCCCGTCCCCGCCCCAGCACCTGGGGCAGGGGCCTGGGCCTCCCCCCATGAGCACCCGCAGCACTCCCAAGATTTAGTCAGGGGTATAGTACAAGTCATGGGCTGGTCACGGGCCGTGAATTTTGGTTTACTGCCTGTGACCTGTTCATGACTTTTACTAAAAATACCAATGACTAAAATGTAGCCTTACTCTTAGATGTGTACAAAAAACTATTTCTTATGCTTTTAAAGAGATACTGATAACCTTTAATTTTTTTCATATTGACTAAAAGAAAAATTAGTTCCTGTTAGAACACCCTTTAAGTAGTATGCCGTGTAGATCAGATAACGTCAGTTATGTTGAAATGTAGGAAAATATCTTAAACATTATAATTATATTGTACTTGGATTATGAGATGATCTATGTTGGAATTTGGTAGAAATATCGTTTAAAAATAAAATTGGTATACCATTTTCCTTAACTTGCTCACATCTGCAAACTATATTTGATTGGAATGTTAAACAGTTATTTCTGTATTTATCTGCAGAATATTCAACAAAAAACAATGTAAGTATGAAATAGAAAATTTAAACAATTAAAATTATTTGGTGTAGCTGCTATTTAACATGCTGTAATCATCCTATGAAAGATTATGGTACAAAAATTTCACATTACTTTGACTTATTCCTGCAATCTTTGACTTTTGCTTTTGCTGATATTTAATAGTAAAAATTGCAAATGTTACGTCTTTTGACTTTCTGAAATAGTGATGTAGCTAAAATGCCATACAACTTTCGATACATAGCCCTTTGGCGCCATTGTCACTTAAAACTGCTGTTCTCAACTGGTACAGCTATTTTGCCACTGTAGAGAGGTCACAATTTTCCTAAAATGATTTTTAAAATTCATTCTCAAGACTACGTCACTACCTAATCTGTTTTTAATGACTATTTAAATAAAATAATATTCCATCTATGCTGGTAGCACAACTGCACTTCTGAATCAATTTTTAGAATTCTCTGTTTCATTAGTTAGGCTTTAAGAGTCTATATTGTTTTATATTTCATAAGTTCAGTTTATAAACAGCCAACTCTTATAAATTGGTACATTATAATGATATACTTTAGTCCCTTGTTCAAATTGTATCAGAAACTCGGAATTTTGTCTGGTGTCAACCCCAATATGGCAGATCATCATTACTGAGTAAGTAATTCAGAAGAGATACATAAAACCTCTTACAAATTCAGGACACCTTACTGAGGTGCAGTTATTCTTTTGGAATTATACTTACAAATCTGAATACAGTAATATTTCATAAAAAACACTGAAAAATTTGTACAAAATGATAGGATTTGACTTCAGTACAACTCAAGTCTTTCATTCTTGAGACAATGTCCAAATAAAAGTTATATAGTTTGAAATCACTTTTACTTTTGCAGTTGTAATTACAATTAAACACTAGAATCCATCGTACTTTCTCCTGGTATGTCTTTAAAATCTGCTATCCTTAAAATAAGGTTCTGTCAGGTCTGTTATCTCTACCATATTTAAATATTTTAGTGGCAAACCTCTGTTCTTGTGAGACATAGTTCTATTACACTTGGAATCCATAAAACAAAGTTTATGCTCTGCAATTTGTTTCCTGAATCGGTAATGCTTTGTAATTTCCAGTGATCAGATATACTTAATTGTGTTAACTCAGTGATTAATTTTAATTGTAGGCCCTGAACCAGGTTGTCCTTTGGGACAAGATCATTTTGAGAGGAGATAGTCCAAAGCTGTTACTAAAAGACATGAAATCAAAATACTTTTTCTTTGATGATGGAAATGGTCTCAAGTGAGTAAATTACATTTCTTTATAGTGTAGCTCTTCTGTACTCTGGATATTTGTGTGTTGCTGAGGTAGGAGTGGGAGAGAGAGGTAGGTGGGGGGAATATGAATATTTAACAATTTTAGAATATTTATTCTTTTAAATTTTATAATTGTTTCAAGACTATTACATCTTCATAAATCAGCTGATGAGATGTGCTATGTGGTAGAGATCCAGACCTCCACTGTCTACCCCCCAATTCACTGGGCTGAAAAGCAAGTGGCTGCCAGAAGCACTTGGCTGCCAGGTTTCAGCCTGTGCCTGCAGAGCTAGGGTCATGTCCTGCAAGGTGTGGAGAACCCTCAAATACTTTGCAGGAAAGATATCTGGACTCTAGGTCATATTCCATGCAGTAGGTTTGTGCAAATACTGTAAACCAATGCAAACTGTGTAAATTTAAAATGCCCATTATTTCTGGCTCACAGAAAAGTATTCATATTCAAGGTAACTTATGTCTTTATAAGTTGAGTATTTCTTCTGATGATCTATTTTGATTTTACAGGGGAAACAGAAACGTCACTTTGACTCTCTCCTGGAACGTTGTACCAAATGCTGGCATTCTACCTCTTGTGGCAGGATCAGGACATGTATCTGTTCCATTCCCAGATACTTATGAAACAGCAAAAAGTTATTAAATTATTATACTGAATCCTAAGCAACGTATTTTTATACTTGTATATTATGAATAAATTTTATCACTTTCTTCTCCTATCCCCTGCAGCTCTCCAGTCAAAGGTACTTGATTTCTTTGGCTCTAACTGAGCAGGAAAAAAAAGCTGAAATTTAGACTTTTTTTTTTTTTAATTTTAAATAAAACACTGATGCTGAAACTTACGGGAAAGGTAAACGGATGGTTTAAAATTTTTGTAAAACTAACTTTTTTTGTTGGCCATGTGGGTAGAAAAATATGTTTCTTATAAATAAACATTTAAACCCAGAACATAGTCTGATTATTTTAAAATTTATTATAAAAGTTCTTTATGTAATCCCTCTGAAGCGCCATGCACAAATTTCAGTGTTGTAGCCAAAAATGTAGTACTTGCAGGTTCATAGGCACTGTGGCTATTGTATTGTATTCTTCAGCTGAATGCTGAATTAGGGTAGATTGTTTCTTTGTAGTAGCATAAAAAGCCACTCTGTAGAAATTGTTGTTCATTTTCCATGAGCCATCAATCAGGAGTATTTTAGTACTGTTCCAGCTCAAATTTGATATTGGTTGAATAGAAATCCTTATTTGAAAGATTTATGTAATATTCATTGATTTAACAAGAGTGTGCCATTGATTTAACAAGAGTATGTGTTTTGTGTTTAAAAAAAACACACAAATCTTTTAAGAGCTGTTTACAACATAGATACCAGTAGAAATCATAAGCAGGATAAAACAGTGGAAAAATACCTCTCGCATATAAATTGGAATTTTTTTTGCTTATTTGAAAAAGCTTAATATTAACCAAGTGTGCATTTTTTTCACACTTGTACAAATAAATAATTTTGGATTAATTAAAGTCAGAAGATCATCTTAAAGCATTTAGGATGTGTTGTGCAGTATACAAAATAAAAATGTGTTTAAAAAAAGATATACAAAATATATGATTTTCTTGTAAAATATTTGGAATTCTTGACTTTCAGTATTATAGACAAATAAAATTAAAATATAGTAAAAGTGTGAAAATAAAAATTAGACTTTCATGGGAATAAATTAAAAAGATTGGGACTACTTAGCAATGAGACAAATAGGATGTAGAATAGTATACAAAATGAATTGTGTACAGAAGGTAAAGGGGCCACTGTCCTTCACTTTTTCACAGTACAAGCACAAGGAGACATTCAGTGAAATTGGAAGGCTACAAATTAAAAACCTGATCAAAGGAAATATTATCTTGTACAATTCATAGTAAGTCTGTGAAGTTCATTATCCCAAGAGCTGAGGTCAACAGCTTAGCAGAATTTTTAAAAGGATTAAACATTTATATAGATATAAAATCATAGTCAATTTTACTAGATAAGATAATATAAAACTGCATGGGATACTTGGGTTCAGCAAGGAATATCATTTTTTGGGCAGATTATTCCATAATTGTCCACTATGAAATATATTTCTTCTTCCCCCTAAAGTATCTGATAGCAGTAATTATCAGAGACAGGACAGTAGATTGGCCATTGATCAGATCCTCTATGACAAACCTATGTTGTGAGTTGACTCCAACTTTTTTTTAAAAAAGGCTTTCAAACTGTTTGTATGGGGCCACCTTTTCCTCCCTGCATCCTGTTCCTTGTGAGGAGGGATAACAGCATAGCCTGCCACCCACATACCGTTAGTATGTGCAGAAAATTCTTGCTCTAATTCTGTGAATCCTAGGTCATCCATGTGGAGTGGCAATAGGGTGACCAGGTGTTCTGATTTTTTGTATGGACAATCCTGATATTCAGGGCATTCTCTTATATAGGCACCTATTACCTCCCCACCCCCAGTCCTGATTTTTCATACTTGCTATCTGGTCACTCTAAATGGCAACTTAGTGTCTGCGCTGTTACTGGCTTTTCCTGTTGTGTGGCTTCTTCCTCTTGTGAGAAGGGTAGAAAGTGGATCACACCTCAATGCATATAATTAATAGCATTATTTAAAAGGGCACTGGACTATGTGATAAAAGAAATCTGCATAAGAATCTAATAGGACAAGATTTAAAAGTGCCTTGATTTTTGGATTCCTCCTTTTTGTGTGTTCAACTTGTGACACTTTAAAGAGCCCAGATTTTTCAGAGGATGGGTGCTCAGCACTTCCCATTTCCAAACATCAGGCCTTTTCAAGATACCTTAGGTTGGGTACTGACAAAATTGTTGGTCTTGAAAAGCTTGACCATACAGTGTAAAGCAGCTGATCTGTAGCTCTGCGCTCAACTATACAATATATCTTTGTATTCACGTGTTTCTTTGGAGGGATTGTTAGTGGGGTTCTACCAGCCTGATTTCTGTACACTTAATGTGTTTGCTCTTGTCTGCTTTGCTGCAGAGAGAAACACCTCACAGTTTGGGTCGCTAAAATACAAATTTTGTACTGTGAGCATTTTTAAAAATGCATCTTAATAAACTGTTTTAACAGTATTCCTAAGTATAAAGAATCTTACCTTGTTGATACAGAATCTTGTAATTGCTAAAATTGATAGATGTTAATGAAGTTAAAGCAATGTGTACGAATTTCAATTATGTTGTCTCAATTATATGAAAATATTTTGCCCTTTTTTGGTGGTAAAGGAATATCACTTGGTCTCTGCTTCTGCCATTTGTTAACTAAGATTAACATTTACACACACAACAAAAAAAATCAAATTGATAAATTGGTCTATTCTCCTGGCCTTCCTAAAGGATAATCTGTCCTTTCTATGTATCTGAGCTTCTTTCCTAAAATGGCTTCAGAATTTCAGCTTAAACAGGAAGCTTCCCATTTCAGTTTCTTTCCTAACTTGAATTGCAGGAAAGAAAAGTCTTGTCATATCTAGATTACTATATAGGTCATAGCCTTTCTATAGGTCATAATTTTCCAAGATGTTAAGGAGAGACTTAAGGCTTCCTGGCAAAGTGGTTAAGAGCTTGCATTCAGAAAGCTTCAAGTTAGCTGTAGTTCCTTCCCTGAAAAGGATCAAAGTATATTCTACCAGGTCTCTTGTTTGGAGTGGAGTTGTGCCTCTGGAGGAACTCTACAAGATTACCATTTAGAAGTACTTTATACAAGTATATAAAGCACACCATTTGAAAGTTACGGCAGCAGCTGCTGCAGGATGCTCAGACCAGTGATCTGTTACTGAAGCGCCTCATCTCAGAAATTGTTCTTTCCCATTCTCTCCAGTTTTGGCATATTCCTGGCTTTTCTTCTCCAGTACTTTATCTAGCCTCTATCTCTGGTCTCTATTATGCCATTATTTTTACAGGGACTGATTTACCAAATCTACTAATTGGGGTCGAGACTGGTGCAAATTTTATGCCTTTATCTGTTAACTTGATTTGTGGCCTGGTTGAAATAGCACATGTATCCATACAGGAGGAAGGCACTGCAGTCGAGACCCAGCCATGATCTAGTTACAGGGTATAGAAATTCTCACCTGGGTTCCATCAGAACATATAGTAGAGAGATGAGTCTGGAGCCAGAAGAATCCATTCTACTTTGGTATAGCTTGCCCGGTATATACTGAGGAAGAGGAAAACCCAGCAGTCTGTGCTGTTTCAACCAGGTCACAAGAATCAAATGAACAGATAAGAATATAAATTACTTTTTACGCTATCCGTCTTGAAACAAACAAAATAGAAATTGCAAGTCTTGTCTTACATTAAGGTTGTAATCTCGTTGGGTCAGGGATTGGTCTTTGATCTGTTTGTACAGTGCCTAGCACAATGGCATCCTCCTGGTCTATGACTAGAGCTCCTAGGCACTAAAGTAATACAAAAAGGACATTTCAGAAAACTGTCACAGTGGCTACTTAGTGTCATACTGCCGCTCTTCCATTGAATGCCATGTCCTTTCATCACCTTCCACTGACTTTTCCCTAAAGTGATATGGTCCTGGAGAATAGACTTGAGGGTAAAATTTGCAAAAATCTAAGTGATTTAGGAGCCTTAAGTCACTTTTGAAAAATTTACCCTACTGCTTTCTCCACTTGTCCTCCAGGCACCTGTTTTCTCTGTTCAGATACTATCTTGATACACATTTTTCACAAAGCCTCCTACTGGTCATGCACTAAAGAAGGGTGAGTGGTAGAAAATATACAACTTGTGAGGCTTGACCATCTTTTGCTGATACAGTGCTTTGCAAGTCTTAATTGTATATGTAATTTACAATGTGAATTTTTTGGGAACTACCAAGTCTTCCTCTTTTTTTTTTTTTTTTATTATATGAGCACTCAGTCCAAAATCTTGCACAAAACAGGTCACTGTTTATTTATAAATAGATACTTAACCATGTATAAAAGTCACTATGTTATCAGTTACAGATTTCAGCAAGTCAGAAGTTGCTTATAACTATCTGACAGACTGGGGATCGGTCTGTCATTGTCAACTCCATGTCAGTACCTGAAACAATGGGTTTCACGCTCTCTGCTTTGTATTGTAACCTTCATGGGGTGTGATCTCTTGTGGGTGAAAGCAGATATTTTGAGGCCGTGATTTGACACCTGGTGGAAAGACTGTCAGAGAAGATGTGACTGGGCAATTAACTCTGAATTACTCTTTCTTGCTGAAACATTGACTTTGAATGACTTTACATAGAAGCAAAAGGGTGGGGAAGCCTGAGCTTGGATTCTCATGCCCCAAACACACATCCCTGAAGAGTTTAATCAAGGTACCAGAGCTCCCACAGCCAGGTCAGCTCTGGGGGAATATGCTTAAGTAAGTGGGGCCTTTGGAAGGCTGAGGCACTTTTTGCAGGGTGTAAGGTGGCTGTACTTCAGGGTCCCATTGCCCAAGAAAGAGCTCAGACATGGGGCCTGAACCTGCATGTGCCTGGGAGACCCAGAGCTAGCCCCAGGGATCAGTCACTACCCAGACATAGGGGTTTAGGAGAACATGGGGCCCAGGATTTGGGGCTGTTTACAATAGACTGGTGTTTGCCCAGAGATAGGACTGGGCCAGGTTGCAACATAATCTGTAACACTTTCTGCTGATGTGCTTATACCTATCAGTAATGCAAACAACTCATAGCTATAATGTTGAATAATCGTTTATGAACCTTTTATAAATAAATTCCATTTTTGAATAATTAGGCAATAACTTGGTAACTAAACACTTCCACAATTAAATCCTTACACTAGTGTCATTGCATCGTAAGTAAGTCATTCTTTTCCTCCATTTTCCATTTTGTGCAGTGCAAATGTGTTCTCAATTTTCCAGCTGCATGCACTTTTCAGAGAGGTTGGCATAGTCAATTTTTATTACAAAAATTAGAATACATTT